CAGATCTGGTATATAACTGTTTTTTTGTTCTTTATATTGGTCTTAATAGTATATTGAAAATGCAATAGCTATTGTTACTTTCTTCTCTACCGCTTCAAAAGAGTAGCCTTGACCAAACGCTTCGGACAGCACTGCAGCAGAACATAACCAGAGTGCTCTTCACCTTTTCCTTTTACAAGATGAGTAGTTTTTTTTAGAAGAATAATAGCTACTGAGATACTCTGAAGCTCTTAATGACCTATAGCTGCTTTCAAATGCCTGGATGTCAAATAAGCTTGGAGGCAGTTGTTCAAAGTGAACAGATTATCCCAGAAGCTTCGATTTAGATTCTGTTTAGTTTCACTTATTTCATTTACATTTAGTCTACCCTATATTGTAGTTTGTTTCATGAAGGTGAATGTCACACGTCCAGGAAAGTCTTCCTTGGCACAGGGCAAAAAAAGTTATAAGCTGGTGAACAAGTAGCCAGACACTGCAAATATCAAACCCGGAGCGATTTTAGACACAGCACTGTAAAATGTGCGAAATGGTTGGATAATCTGCCAAATCAAAGAATATATCACAAATGATCTAGATGATTTTCCCCCCACCGCTATTGTACCTTTTTTGATGGAAGACTGGGCATTTGTTTGAAACTAAATTTTAATTGAAATGGGGGAAAAGTTGTATTTCTGTGAATAATTTTACTTCTTGTGAAGAAGCTAAGCAGGTAGAAATGGTTTCCTCCCTTCCTCCCCAAATATGTATTTAATATATATAATTCAGAAATCCTTTTTCCCCTCACAGGACTCTTATTTCAGATGTCTCATTTCTTCATACTTCTTGACAACCTGTGCTCCCTATCTGCATGCAGTCCGTGATGCATTCGGTGGTTCAGGAGTCAATAAATGGGAAAAGCAGGGTGCTTCATGAAAGGGGTAATCTCACCTATAGAGAAGGATGGCGACAGGAGGCAGCAGAATAATAAACCCCACGAGGCATCTCTATGACATTTCTAAATTGAAATGTCTAATGTTCAACTAAAAGCTTTCAATATTTTCTCAAGATATTTTTGCAGGGAGAGAATTTTAAGAAAGCATTTCTGACCAGCTTTAGACGTAATGCACTCTTATTCCAGGGTAGAGCTACCTTTAAAGTGCATGAAAAAATAATGCCATACATCTGATTACTTTGGCAATACTATTAAAATGTCAGCTGCTTGCCTAGCGCACAGCAAGGAGAACTAGCTGAAGGAAAAAAAAAAGAAAAAAGAAATAAGCTTAGCTTTAATAAAATGTGCTTTATTCACATGAAGATCTGCTCACATCCAACTTGGAATGTTTCATATCCTTTTTCTCTTACCAGTGCATGCCTATGCTCCCTGCAAAAATGAGAAAAAATTGAATTCATGCCACCAGTTCTGCATTTATGGTTTATTAAAAAAGACACGTGGTTGAATACAAGAACAGAACAAAAAAGATCTAATGAATAGCACAACTATCTAGCACCATCTGATAAGGAGCCATTTGGGGCCCGAATGAGCTCCTATTGACTTTAGTAAGAAAAGGCCAAGGCCATTAATTTTCTCGTAAACAGAGAAACAAACAATCCATTAGAAATGGCCCCTATATATATGTGTGCACAAGGCTCTATCTATTTTTAGTCATAACCTATGGCATCTCTCTAATTGTTAATTGATTGTTAAGAGGAGCAGATTTCTATTATTGTTCCTGTTCTTTTCATTGGGTTGGGACCTAACGTAAGTGCTATGTTTACTTATTTATAAGTTATCAAAAACCTTTATTTGACTTTCATGCATTTCATATGCAATAAAAATATGACCTGATAGCCTCTGCAAATGAAATCCAGTTAAACTGGATTTACATTGAATTTTTTTTTCATCTCTGTGTTGCCTTGGCCTAGCTGAAGAGCTCATAATCAATTCATAGATGGTTATTGAATGCTCTTCTGGTCTATTCTCTGCTGCTGAAAAATGAAGGCAAAATAGATAATTAAACCAAGTATCAGGATTTCAAAGAAAAAAAATACCTAGGCTGGAAAAAGTAATCTTTTACGTTGTGATTAGAGGGTATATGTGGAACCTTCCCACACATACACAAGGGCCAGATTCTATTTCATCTATTAGGCACCTAAATCCACTTATGTGTCTAAGTGAAATTCTACTTCATCACGCTCAACTTCTTGAAACATCATTAATGCCAGAAGCGGGTGAATCCTCCTCTTCCTCATTGTTTTTTCCATGACTTGGTTTTAAAGATAAGATGATGGTGCATTATAAAATGCATGACTAGATTTTCGAGGACTTGAACAGGGTAGAATGGAATCACGCTCGAGTTCCCAAGTCCACCTAGATGCCCTGTAGGAGGAGCAGAATCTGCCCGCTTCTATAACACTCTCTAAAAAACAAGTACTAGGATTATTTGTCTGTCAGACTAAAAGAAACCCATCTGTCTGTCTAGCTATTCCACACAAGATTCTTGTTTTATCGTTCTTTTATGTATGTATATTTTGTGCATGATATTAATTATGTGCATATCAAAATAATGGTACAAAAGCAAACAAGGGCAGAAAAGAAAAATGAAGAGATAACTAGGTAAATAAAAAAGGAAAAACCTCACTCAGATCAAGTTTGACTGGAATGTAAGCTTTGTTCTGTTATTCTGTTACAGAATCTGTGTGGCAAACGTAGGATGGAAAAAATATTCTCTCAGTCAATCCGTCTAAAGAAAGCACACTAGCAGCACAGGAACATAAGAAACAGCTTGGCAAAGAGTACTGGCATTTAGAGAGTACTGGTGGGAGAAGAGAAGTTGATAGCCAAATTATTTCCAGCTTAAATATCAATGGTTTTAAAAGTATACTAAGAATAAAATATCTGCAGATATTTAATATGCCACCAATTGGAAATAAAAATATGCAGCTTTATAGTTTGATTTTACGTGAGGCGTTTGCATGAAGTACATAATGGATCTAGATCAGTAGTTCCCAACCTTGGGTCATGACCCAAATGAGGGTTGCAGGGGCAATACCGTGGCACTGCACACAAAGAATGAGCCACGCCGTGTGCCAGGAACTCTCCTGCCCCTGGGCCGCCACTGCTGCCACCATACTTCGCTCCCAGCAGCGAGTCATGGCAAAAAAAGATTGAAAACCACTGATCAAGATCATACTCCTGTTGAAGTCAATAAAATAACCATTCCCCAAATAGAGATGACTTAACACTGGGGACACAGAAGTTATATTCCCAAGTCAACACTATTGCTGACTGTGAATCTGATACTTCATCTGAGACTGAAGGAGTTTCAAAGTCCAGCCGATGCATCTAACGTACTTCTTTCAGAGCCTGACTTTGCAGAGTCTGTCCCAAGCAACCCTACACAGGGCTCATCTACACAAGATGTTTAATGCACAGTAGCCTAATAACATTGTGCAGTAGCATGCTGGGCAAAAACCATGTTAATATGCTACTGCACAGTAGTATTAGGCTACTCCACAGCAAGTGTCACTAAAAAAACATGTGCCAGTGCTACTGAGCAGTAACTGTAGTTACTGTGCATTCAGTTAGGACTTCATTAAACAAGTACTAAAATAAATGCACAGTAACTACTGCGCTTTAATGAATAGGTAGATGTGCCCACAGAGAAGCTTTCCAGCCATTAAGCTATATGACTAAACCCAAATTAGCTACTGTAACAGTGGCTTCTGCCATCCAACAAAGGTTGTAGAAACCACCTACAAATGGAGTCAAGCCTATATTAATTTTAGTCAATGAAATTTTCATAGAAGAACTCCATTAACATTGGCACATTATAATAGGAAGGAAATAGCATCCTGCAATGTATAAGTTTCAATAACAAAGGTTAAACTAAAGAATAGACACATCAGTCCAACAGGGATTGAAAGGCTGTGTTAAACTTAAATTGACTGTAAGTGGAGCACTGGGGTCAGCTGGTATTTGATTTAGCTGGAGGAGCGGTGTTTTAAGAGCATTTCATAACATTCTGGGAAAGA